TTCCATTTTGCCCTGTTCGATATCCTTGAAGTAAATCATGATCATATCCAGTTATACAACCTTCTGCTTACTTATTTGCCCACGATCGTGTCCCATCTCCTGTCTCGTTCTCTTTCGTTCACTCAAAATTAGTCCGCTTGGATGATCGGGATCATGTGATATCAATCGTTCGTGATGAATGAGTGAACCAGTTTTTTAAGGAATGATAAACTAGTTCACTTTGTTCAGTCATTAAAATCTTTCGTTTGAACTAGATCAATCGGAAACTACACATCGCTAGACCTCACCCACCTACTGCCGATTTTCAGACAGGTTTCTACATATAGTTTGGTAGTATGAAAGCAATACTCGTGAAAAATCAATTCTGGTTAAATTGGCTGTCATTTTGATCAAAAGTCTCTAGGGGCAGGTTTCCGAGTTACAGGTTACGCAAATCATCGAAATATCAATGGAAAATAGTCACCAGGTATCAAATTGGTTGGAATTTCAGAATGATATTCTCTATACCATTTTTGTCAAAAGTCTTCATGCTCTGATATCAATGGCTTCCGAGTTACCGAGTGCGCAAATGTGAGAAATTGGAAGAAATTATTTCGCGAGAAACGACAGTTTTACCATAAGGTCTCTGTGAGCGTTAATTAGAAAAGTATACAGTGAACCTCCGGTAATCCGACAAACATTATGCAGATCAGTGTCCGACGATCGAATTTGTCGGATTATAGAGCACTGCCTAAGACCCCCTATAGTCCGAAATTTTTTACAAAAGAGTACCTTGTGATCCGACAAATTACATATCCAGTGGTAAGATTATGTATACATATGTGTTATGTATATGTATGTACTTTGAAGTACAAATCATACATATGCACATACATATGTACCAAATCATTAATGAATTTATCAAATTATGAAGCTTGGAAATATTCATCAATTTTTTTTGTTTAAGGTTGTTATAAGCTTTGTCCCTCAGTCTTCTCAAAAGTAAAAGTTCGTTGTAGGATGTACCATTCTCTTCAGCCCATTGTAAACCTAGTTCAAAGGCGTTAATTGCGTCTTGTGCTGTGACTTGTGGAGCAGTTGCAATCACGTCGTCATTATTTTCCTGATTGTTTGTTGTATAATTAGAAACCTTTTTCATAATCTCTTCGTCAGACATTTCATGAAAAACATTTTCCTCTTTATCCATTCCACGGCACCAGATTTCCAAATCTTCCGGACAAATCTGTGTTTCAGTAGCAACTTGTTCTATAACTTCTGGAGTAACACTGATTTGTGGAACCTTGTTAGGAGTGGTGACTATATCTGGCCATAAATTTTTCCAAGACCATTTAATAGTTGATGACGGTAACGCATTCCACGAGTGACAAAGAGCAAAAACCAAGTATTTCATATTAAATTCTTTTAAAGTTTTTTCTATTGGTTGGTATTTTGATACGACTCTCAGGAGTAGGTTTTTTTTATAGTCTTGCTTGACAAAATGAATGATATTCTGGTCCATTGATTGAATCAGTGCAGTGCAATTTGGCAGAAGAAACATCGCAGTGATGCATTTATCCTCAGGTGTTAGTTCTTCTTCAGACAGATGACCGGGAGCGTTATCAAGAATCAACAACGCCTTTTGAGGAAAATGATGATCTTTTAACCATTTTCTAACTTCAGGTACAAAGCATTCATCAAACCACTTTTTGAAAAGGTCTTTTGTCATCCATGCACTTTTTTGTCCGTACAGCTACAAAAATGTTTTTGAATGCCCGTGGTTTATTTCCCAATGACCATCATCTTAAGCGCGTGTGTGCCCGCAGCGTTAGCACATGGTAGTATGGTTACACGCTCTTTACTTACTTTTCGTCCACGTATGCATTTTTCGTTACCAGAAACGAAAGTTTTGTTAGGCATCACACGCCAAAAAAGCCCTCATTCGTCTGCGTTGTACACCTGTGACAGGTCAAGATTTAAATCGTTTACCTTTTGCAAAAATTTTAATTTAAAGGGCTCTATGCAGGTGGCATCGTTAGAAAGTTTCTCTCCTGTAATAGTCATTAAACGTATGCGATGACGACTTTTAAAACGTTCTAGCCATCCTTTGCTGGCCACAAAATCATCTTTTTTTGTTATTTCCTTATAAAAAAACTTAGCTATCATGACCAACATGGGTCCTGAAATTGGTTCATGTCTATTTCTTTCCTGAAGAAACCACATGTACAAAGCTTCTTCCACTTCTGGATGTTCAGATTTCTTGAGTGTCTGTCTCTTGCCTGGCCTGCAGTCAGTAATTGACACGAACTTCTGAATCTTCTCGTGGCTTCTTTTAATGTCATAAATTGTAGACCGGCCTACGCCGTATTCACTTGCTAAACTACTGAAAGTTTCATTGCGATTTAAGCGGTCTAAAATACCACATTTTTCTTTAATTGTCAATGTTTTGTGCATTCGCTTCTGAGTTTGTGACGACATTACTAGGTACACTATACTTAATACACAATGAATAAATAGTAAACAATGAACGCACGCTAGGCCGTACCGCTATCACCAGTAGTCAAATTGAAACTAAGTAAAACAATGCTTACGCGTCGAGCACGATAGCGGTGGCGCGTACAAGTTGTAACCTGTTCAAACCTGCATGATCTACATTAGCGAAGATTGTCAAAAACGTATGTATGTAATAGATATTCAAACACATGTCGGATTACAGGGGGCGCCGGATTAGACAGGGGCCGGATTATCGGGGGTCCACTGTAATAAATAGCTACTTTAAAATGCTGCTTTGATCTCTAATCCAACTAATGGATGATGGCTTTTTTATCCACTTCATTTATATTTTTAGAATGATGGAAGTGGAAAATGTTTCACTGTCAGATTGGCGGAAATTGAACTATGTTGCCTTAACATAACCTGTGGTGTTCATGCTTATTGGACTCCTATGGAGTACTTAGGAGTCGTATATTGGCGTTAGTATTATTCTGAGCCAAAATCTAAATACGTTTAAGATTCTAGTATTAATGATGTGTGAGTTGAAGGGTATGCAATTATAATAAATTCAGGAAAAGGTATGAATTTGTCTGCCGATTTTAAATACAACTGGAAACTGTTTAGTTTTTACATTAAATTCCACGATCATTATTAACCGAACTGGTACTCTTCTAACGACCATAGCCAAAAACTTCAACACTTCCCAATCAGAACCGCAGCGTTATTGTCTCAAAAGCTATAGGATGTCAAAAAAATGGTAAAATGTCAACTTGTGCATTAGATAGCCGCTAGTGTGTCGCTAATTCATTCCGCGCTTACTACAAGTGAGCATGAAGAAAAAGTTAGCAAGTTCAAAGGTGACATTATATAGGAAAGCCTAAATAAAGCCAAGAAAAGTCTACAAAATGTCTATGAAAAATCGTGGTAATTTCATATGGCTTTGAGAAAACATCAACTATACAGGCCGAAAAAATTATTACCCAGGAACCCCAGTACACTTTCTGGAAGGCTTTTGATGCAATATTCTAACCTAAAAGAACAAAAATAGTAGCGATTTTTGTTTATATTTGAAGTTATGTATCACGGCGAATTATTTTTTTTTCAAAATACCATAGATGTCTCAAAGTAAGAGCCTTGCACCTTCAAATGCTGTTAAGTTTGCTCAAATGTCTTTTTTATTTGGTACTCTACACGTAAAAATTTAATAACTAGTTAATAACATAAGGAATATGTTAAGACCTGCCAACTAAAAACCTATAAATCATCGAAACTAACTCCATAAAGTATCTAAAATTTACCCAAACCACAAGCCCACAACCAACCCTACCCTGTCAAGGCCGAGTTTAACGTTCTTAGTTTCGATAGTAGACTTTTTTTAAATAAACTTACTTTCTTCTGATAGAAGCTTAATCGATCTAGGTTGGAACATCCAATACTTATCCAAACCACAAAACTTCAAGCTACCTTACCCTACCGAAAAAAGGATATTTAAGCAAACTCAACGACATTTGAAAGGGCAAGACTCGTACTTTGAGATTATGTCTACGGTTTTTTGAAAGAAAAAACGCTACGCTACATAACCTCAAATATAGTTAGTAAGAACATTGGTAAAAATCACTGTTTTTGCACATTTAAGTTAGAATATATCGGAAATTGAAGCCAATTGAGAAATTTGGACCACGGATTCGGATTCAGCACATCATCAATCTTCGAGAAAGTGTATTCTGGTTTCAAGGTAAAAGGACCTGTGTTATTTTCGCAAAAACTAGTGGCATATAGTTTCTTAAATCGTCCGGTATACATATAAGTACCGTTTATACGGTGACTAACATGTCTGGATCTAACATGCCGGAGGTAATATAGGTATTTTAGATTACGCATCACAGTTTATTGTTTGAAAACGATCCATAACTCACACGAGTTACCTTCAAATGCCTAAGATCACCACACCCTGATACAGTTTAGATTATGCTCTCAAGGATAGTTGGCATTTTTATTCTATTGACCGACCATCGCTAGACACTTTTTGTATTATTACATATTTGCATACAGCGAGTGCACAAGGGATTTTGCACTGTGTTTCGCTTTATAAAAGAGATGAGGGATAGCTGATTTTACGTTCTATTTAGATTCGGACTCATAAACAGTGCATCGCATTCATGGGTGAAATTTTCCGACTCGGATTTTTTCAACAATCTCCTTTGTGGGATGCCCCTCAACATAAATCAATAGGCTACCGGGTAATTTTGTCGGTACATGTCTTTAAAACAAATTACAATTCTTTTTCTCCGGGTAAAGCTCCTCAAGGTTTTTTTAGATATCAAGTAGTCCACTTCCACATTATAAGCGTAAAAACCCCAAAAATGACCATTTTCAATGCTTCAAAACTCGGTTGTAAATCATTTTTTAAAAAGAACTAAGGACAATCATGAGCATGTCCGCAACAAAGGAACAGGAACAGTACTCGTAATATAAGGACTGATAACCCAGGCGACTTACGTTTCTACTTATTCTACTTATAACATATGCCCATCACATCTAGATACGGGTGTAACCTAAAGGAAAACAAGGATGGAAATGGAAATACAAATAGAACCCGCCAACAAGACCCAGCAGGCACATTTATTGCGGACATAGCCACGGTTGTCCTTTGTTTTTTCGTCTAAGTTTCCGCAAGACTACCTGTCTTTCTATGTAGTTACTCACTGGCTTGACGTACCACGTGCCTATCTCGCTACACCCATCGAATAATGTTCTTGGATTTCTTATTGTAAAATTCTGACGATTGCATACTTTGACAAAAGAATCTGAATCTGAAAAATTCTGAAAATAATGTACTCATAATTAGTGGATTATATGCGAGAATAGATTAGCACCTTATATATCTCAAAGTACTTACTTAAATCCGTTTTTCAGTCCGCAAGACTATTGCATGCGAGCACTTGCAGTAAGACGGCCCTGTTTCCTCGATTCAAACGAGTAAGCTTAGCCAACCTAAACGAATGAAATATTCCTACAGAAAACATATTTTTAAAATCCAAACACTAATTTCAGTCGTCAACCATCTAACATCGAAACACAATCAATCGTCTACACCCTATTTCACGAGTATCCATGACGGGACAATGACAGCTAGTTATCGAGTAATATTTCAAAATTCCCCATATCGGCACAGGACACATAATTCTGACGGATCCGTCAACGTCAAGTTGTCAAAGCTGTATTTTGTTTTGGTTTTTTGTACTTTACAGATTCATTTTGTACTTGCTAACAGCTCCTTTATTTCGAAAAGTTAACTTGCATGCAAAAAACAAATAAGCTTTACTAGATTTACACGTGATTCACTATTGCCAACGTCGCAGACTAACACAGAAATGTCAGTTGCTGATCAGCTGTTCACCTCAGTAGACGTTAAAGCGTGATGGATAGATCATCTGACAGTACAAAGTGCTGCCTAACCACACAACAAATTCTTGCTAGAAACATTTTAAGTTTTTATATGCATTTGGTTTTGATTTGGTGGATAATCTCAAAGACCATATTGTTGAATAATGTAGTTGTTCAATATGATGGAAAAAACAAGGTTGACACGATGGGAGCAACACTATCTGAGCATCTAGAAATTTAATCCGGACTTCAACGGCAGACATAGAATGGTTTACTAAAAACGGATTGGTCCTCAATTAGAAAAAACAATATTTCTCTGTTTTCGAACAAAATAAAGAGTCAGAAAAATCCTAGATATGGTCTTAATCAACAATGAAAACCAATACTCCCTCGTAGTTCAAAGTTCCTGGGTATTCACATTGACCAGAATTTGGATTGGAAGGTATTGAGGCATTGAACATCTTAAGATTGCGTACTAGTCAAACGTTTATTCCTTCCTCAGGTAAGGAATCATAATTTGGGGAGGCAGCAGTGTACAAAAAAAATCAGTGCGCACTATGGTATCTCTGCGAATAAGACAAACTTGTAGAGGAAGGTTTAGAGTGCTGAATATTCTCACTGTGTCAGCTATTTATATTTTTCAGTGTATCATGTTTTTGTTTAGAAACAGAGAACAATTTAGCGCCTATGACAGACCTGAAGGTAACAAGGCACAGTGGCCTCATTTGCCCTCGACTTACCGCGACGGAGTAGTGCCTTACGCGTGTATAAATGTTTTTAATAAAATACCGCATCACATCAGGGTGGATAATAATTTTAATATCTTTAATATCCTCATAGAATTGGAACCTTATACGTTGCAGCAAATTTAAGTCACATATTTTAACCTGTTTCCCATTCAATGTCGTGTCATTGTTTTATTTATTAAGAAAAAATGATCTGCTTCATTTGTAAGCTTGTATTTTTCATTACTTAAGCTGTGTGTATTTTCATTACATGTTTGTTTGTTAATTTACTGTTACTTCCCACTTCATTTGGCCCACTTCAAGATTTGTACCAAAATATGCCTTTATAAACTAAACATGACGAAACTATTTACTTCTAAAACAATTTATTTTCTCAGAAACATTTTAAATACACTCTAGTCAGGCCCAATAGAAGGCATCGCCTGTACATGGACCAATAATTTAAGTTGAAACTGTAGAATGCAAATGACAAAAAAGGACAAAAATTAGCTACAGTAGATTATGTATTTAGTTGATGTTCATATTTATGAGTTTATGAATTTCAGTCCTAGATATAGAATGTAGCCACTTTTTTAAATTTCTTTTGAAACAATTTCCGAAACGTAAATCTTTTAAGTCTTTAGGTATAATTTCATCAAATTTAGGCGCTAAATAGAGATATGATCGCTGCATTATAGATTTATGCGGTTGAGGAACTACTGTGCCACGAATTTTGTACCTGGTATAATGATTATGTTTAATTTTTTGGTCGGTGTTTACAAATTTATGGTAGTGAGTGATACTGTGTAAGAAATAAAGCTGTCTTATATCATACATTCGAATATCTGCGTATAATTTTTCAGTGGGATAAAGTTTCGGTTTTTTAAATATCATTTTTAGAATACTTTTTTGAAAAACATCTAAATTATAAATATGTGAGGAACATGCAGCTCCCGATGCTAATATACCATATGTGAGATGAGGCTCAATCAGTGCATGGTATAATGTTCGAAGATATTTTTCTGTCAATATATTCCCAAGGTATTTAATTTTGTAGGATACAAATCTAACTTTCTTTAAAATATAATTGACATGGATGTCCCATCGTAAGTGAGGATCCAAGACCACTCCAAGGTATTTTATGTTGGGCACTCTATTAATTTGCATTTTTTGATCATTAATATTGAAGGAGAAATCTGTGTAATTTGGCAGATGTCTAGCATAAGATCCAAATGGTAAAAAATGTGTTTTAGAGTAGTTAATGCTTAATTTTCTACTGTTAAACCACTGAATAATTTTGATAAAATCATTTTCAATTACATTTTTCAGATCAGACCAGTCAGTGCCTTCATATAATATTGCAGTATCATCTGCAAAACTAGTTATTTTGCCAACACAATTAATTTGGAAAATATCATTCAAATATATATTGAATAACAGCGGACCTAAGACAGTTCCTTGTGGGACACCACACTTAATATACATTTCTTTACTAAATGATCCTGATATCTGCACAGATTGTGGGCGATTTGACAAATAACTTTCGATCAGTGAGTACGCGTTTCCTCTGAAACCAATTCTCTCCAATGCTTCTAATAATAATTTGTGATTAACTGTGTCGAAAGCTTTCTTTAAATCAACAAAAATGCAGATTGAAGGGATTCTGTTATCAATATTTTGATGTATTTGATTTACAATTTTAGTTATTGCGTCCGATGTAGCCTTCCCTTCTGTAAATCCATATTGATTTTCACTTAAAATTTTGAATTTTGTGAGGTATCGAATCATTCTAGTAAATTAAACTTTTTCAAAAACCTTTGCTACACTGGATATTATTGATATTGGTCTATAGTTGTTAACATCTGTTTTTGTTCCTGATTTATGTATCGGTATTATATTACCTTTTTTTAAAATTGAGGGATATATGCCAGATTCAAAGCATTTGTTGATTAGGTAAGTGAGTGGTTCTGTTATGTCCTCGGCTATAATTTTCAAATGCTCGCTTTTAATACCATCGAACCCAGGACTTTTCCGATTTTTTAAGGACATAACAGTGGTGTATACTTCACATTGCTCGACATTATCCAAAATAAATGAGTTCAAAGTTCTTTTTGGAGGCTGAGTATTTTGTACATTTGCTTGTATATTACTTGCTAAATTTTCGCCTATGTCAGTAAAGAATTGTACAAATTCATCGCATATCTGTTGAGTATTTTTTAATACTGTTCCAGATGTTGAATTTAACTCAGTGACACACTCTTTAACTTTTGTTTTCCCAGTAATCTCATCAATAGTTGTCCAAAGCCGCTTAGGATCATTTAAGTTATTATTCAATTTATTTAGGTAATGTTTTCGTTTGGTTTGCCTTACAAGCTCTATAAATTTATTTTTATATTGGTTGTAGCAGTCGGTATTCTCTGTAGTTGGCGTTAGTTTTATTACATTATATAGTCTTTCTTTTTCTATTGCCTTTGGTAATCCAGGCATTTCTGCTTTTCTCTTTGTGACTAATTATTACTTTATTGGTACTAATATCTATTAGTTTTTTTATTTTCTCTATGAACAGTCCCATTGCTTTGTCTATATTATTTATAGAGTATAATTGTTCCCAGGATTCTTGTTTGACATTTGATATTAGTTTTGAATTATCGACAAAAAATTTGTAATTTTTCTGGTTGTCATTAACGGTAGGGATGTTAGAATGTTTTTCATTTGAAGATATCAGTAAAATAGTGGAGAAGTGGTCAGTAATATCGCTTTGTAGTATTATTGGTATACAAGTAATTTTGTTGGATAGGTCTTTCACAAAGCAGTGATCTATACATGTGCCACTGATGGACCTTGTAGGTAGGTTTATATAGGACAGAAATCCGTTACTTGATAGGATATTCAAGTATTCATTTGTGATGGGATCATCGTCCAAAATATTTATATTGACATCTCCCAAGAAAATATGTTGCTTTAAATGAACTTTATTTTGATTTTGAAAAAAAAATTCGATATTCTTTAAAAACTCGTGGGGTTCTGAACAAGGCGGATGATAAATTGCAGATACCTCAATTTTGTTATGGTTAATTTGGATCATTATGTTTAAAATTTTGATTCCATCGGTGAAAGTGAATGTATCATGATTATATTGCAGTTTATTTCTTACAAAAACTATCACCCCATGGTTTTGGTTATAAGTGCCAAAGTTATACAGCGTGTCATATCCCTGCTCATTGAAGCAAGAAATATCAACCACTTGCCACGTTTCAGTTAAAACTATTAGATCAAAATTGTACCATATTTGGTCGAGTAGTATTTTTAAGTAATCAATGTTGTGTTTTATACTCCTTATGTTCATATTAAAAATTCGAAATTTTGCATCAGAATTTTGTGTACATAAATTAAGTTCATCGACGTTTTGTGCTATATTTGTTGCAATACTTGGAATTTGGAAATTATTAATGTATTTATTTACTGACATTTTTAGGTCCTCTTTAGATATAGGAGTAGTAAAAGATGAACTTGAATTTTAAAAAAGTATCCTTAAGTTTTGTTGTTCCTGATAATATTTGTACGATGGACATTTTTTGTCGGTAGGTGAGTGGTTAATATTATAATTTTTTTTATATCTTTCATTCCCATATCTACAGTTGCAGCATTCTATTGATACATGCTTACAATTTTCTCCTTCGTGACGGTTGCCACAGTTGGCACATATCTTCTCATTCCTGCAATTCTTTTCTGTATGATTAAAACGGTAGCATTTTCTACACTGAGAAATGTCGTTATTTTGATATACTGTCAAACATTGCCATCCCAGAAGTATTCTTCTATTATTGTCTTCGAAGATTTTTTTGAATAGCTTTCCAGAAGTTTCCGCGTAGATAGTGTAATTGTTTCTTGATGGAAAATATTTGATAAACTTTACTTGTATGTCTCCACTCTGAATCATATAATTC